TACATAAAACAAAATCCACTCATCCAGATAAGTCTTTCTGCTGAAATAGGGCTGGTGCAGGGGCAGCTTCAGCTGGTGAGAGACCCTTCACGGTAGAGAAATCTTAACCATGACTTCAAATCCCTGTTCAAGTTTTGAGAACTATTTTTAGTGTTAGTTAAAAGTGCCTCATTTGTAAGGAGTTTTCGAGGACTCAAAATCTTTCTGAGAAGTGAAATATATAGGACTCTGAACTGCAGACTTTTCAAAGTAGGTTGAGCAGGATGGTGTGTTCCAACGGTTGGAGAGCCACGTTCATGGGGTTGATTCTGGTTCTTCAGGGTTAGTCCTCAGAGACAAAGGAAAGCTCAGAAGACTTGGTGGGATTTAATTCTTTTTTACTAAAGTTAATTTAGCACACTTACTTACCCTGAAACTCCTAGGCTTCAAGCACCCTTCCATCCCTCTATTTGAGGGTATTAAGGAACTCTCAGCTCAAAAGTATTGGAGCCTCTGTGGCAGGAAGCATTCAAGGTGCTGAGGGGCAGCTGGTTGGTGGAGGGGAGCAGGCCAACTAGGTCAGAGAACCCTGGGTTCAAACCCTCACCCCAGGACTGACTGGGAAAGCCCTGCCACCTCCACACATCATTCTGATGGGGCTGAGTTGGTATCTGCCTTGAGGCTAGCTCTCCTCCTCCCTCAGCTTGACTTTTCTGCCTTTGCCCGCCTAGGTCCTGTAGTTTCAGAACCCATGCTTGCCTTTCCCGAGAGCATGCGTCTTCTGGTCCTCTTATTGCAACCAGCTTCTCCAAACTACGGCCTCTAGAGTGGCAAAAACTCTAGCTTACACCTACAAGAGACTCTAAGGAGTTATGTAGACAGCAGTGAAGAATGAGGACAGATAAGTGTCCCAGGGCTTTTGCTTTCAGATGCCCACCACTGACACAGTTACTATGCAGTGTCTGGGAAGAGCAGACCTTAGCGATGCTGGGCCATCAGCCTGCACACCCCAGGGACCAGGCCGTCTACATGGGCAAATTTTGCACTGCAGACAGCTGGTGAGGGGGGCCAGCGAGGCACAGAGCTTCGAGTGTCCCGTTTTCTATTTTTATAAGGTGAGCCTCTGGCACAGTTTCACTGCCAAAGTCAGAAGATCTTTTGAATTCAGAAACAAGATTCCTTAGGCCCCAGCCAGCAGCAGCAAGGTCTGACTGTTACAGGAAGCTGTGGTAAGAGTGTGTGCCAAGATTGGGAGCAGGGAGGCCCAAAGACCCCTACTGTCCACCTGCCTAGGACCACGAAGACAGAGAGGCAGGCATCCAGATTGTAGCTTGGGGCCACAGAGCAGATGTGCCTCGGCCAGCTTGTTCTTAAACACCTTCCCTTCTTTTCGCAAAGAAAGGGGCTTTTGTTCCTTCCCTATATGGTGAATGTATAGGAACTGACAACAGAGTGTCTGGGAACAAGGGAACATTTTATTACCTCATCAGAGCCCTCACAGCAGAGTGTGTAAAGGGCCAATCCAGCAAAAAAGATCCCCTCCCCCCACCCCCAAAGGAGAGCTTCGTGTTGTTGATGTAATTGTGCCTGTTCTCTCTCATATTGCTGTTTTATTTTTAAAGCAGTTAACTGTTTGGTCAGTTGGTCTGTGATGCTTTCCCATTGTGTCTTTACCAGTTGAGGTCTGCTTTCTAAGAACTGGGAGTGCTGGTGAACAGGCATTTAGAACCCTCCCCATCTGTCCGCGAAGTTGCCTCTAGGCTTTCAGTTGACCCAAGCCACCCACCCTGGGTCTGTGCACAAAGATGACTGTGAGATTGTAAGAGGCTTCTTAAGAGCCAGTTTCTTACCAACACTGTGAGGCCATTGTCACTCATGGGTTCCCCACTTCACGGGTGGAGAAACCGAGGCTCAGAAAAGTCAGGTAAATCATGGAGGGAGTTGTGGCTCCCTCTGACTCCAGAGTTGCCTCCCAGAGCCAGCCCTAACTGCCATACCAAAACTTCTAGTCAGCGCCACAAGTTACATACATGGAGCTTCAGGTATTCCACTCACTGACAAAAGAGATGAGGAGAAAGAGTCTTGGGCAGCTACCTGGCTGTGTCAGGGTGGGACTGTGGGCCTCCAGGTCCCTGCCTCCTTCCAGTACGGCACAGATTCGTGTGTGCGTGGACAGTTCACCCATGGAAAATAACTGCCCGTGTCACAACTCTCACCCTGCTGAAATGTCAGTTGCTGGGGGCCCAGTACCCTGTGTGCTTGAGAGGACCTTCTGTGTCCACCCTGGTTAAGAAATAAGAGCATTCAGTGTGCCTGGGAGACCCGGGCTGCTCCCAGGAGCTCTTGGCCCAGGTTCTCTCACAGACCTGTGAAATATACAGCCCTTCCTTATTCCTTAATGAAGGCCAGCATAGCGAGAGGTCTGCTAAGGGGGCAAACGACAGTGTGGCATAAAACGCTCCATCTAGAACCCTCCTTTGAAAGATTCTGTGGAAGGAGGTTGGAGCTGCACACAGTGTTCGCTTTGTGCCTTATATATTTGCTACAAAACGTCCCTTCTGTAGTTTCCAACATTTACCCAGATCAACACTGCTGGTATGTGTAATGGTTTTTCCAGAGTTCTGTCTTGGAGGTTGTTTGGCTTGCGGGCAGCAGGCCCTGTGGAGTTTGGGGAAACAGCCAAGGAATGGTGTGTCAGTTACAGTCTATAACGGGAGGTGTGTGCTTTTCTGTCTGTTCTCTCTCACAGGCTTTGGGGTTGGGGGGGGGACTCAGCCTTTTGCCCATCACGTACTGCCCTGCCCTGCCAACCTGGCTTTTTGTGGGAATCTTAAAGAATTGGAGATAACCCTGTGACAAAGTACGTGTTAGCTTGTACTGCCCAGACTATATATAGATGGAAGCGGGCGGGGGGGGCGCCGACTGTGGACCTTCTGAGGGGAAAAAGAGGGAGTTTAAAGAAAAATGCAGTGGGCTGAAAACAGGCTTTGAAACGTGGAGCCATGGCTGATCTGGGCAGGAAGAGTGGCGAGTAGACTTGGGGAGACATGAAACACATACTTCACCGCCACATAACTTTCCTGGAGGAGACAGTGTTTGCTGTAACCACATAAATGTTTCAAAGCTTAGGAAGGGAAGAGCATTAGGAGGCTGCTCTGGGGAGTGGAAAGCTTCACAGGCCTAGGAGGCCCTGCACACTGAAAACCAGAGTATCAAATGCATTTATACTTTCCAAATTTCTGTTTCTTTTATGTTAAAGCATTTTAGAAAGAATGTTCTTGCCTAGAGACCACAGACATATTTTCTTGATCTGAATTAAGTGTTAGTTCCTAGACTGAGTCAGTCATGTGAGTGAGCTGTGTGTAGGCTTCTGCTCTGCTGGTAGAGGCAAACTTTCACTGAGTGAGACAGAAATTCCAGAAGAGGGAGGGGTATTTTTCTTTAAAAGTGAAAGTGGGTTTGAAAGCAAATCCTGGTATTTTTCTGAGTCAGGGAGTGGCAGGGGTCGAGAGGCCCTTTAGGCTCCCCCAGCTTGTCTTGAAGAAAGAAGTATCCTTACTGATAACCCTGAAGCATCCCTCACCCCCCTCTAGAGCTCAAAGACCAAAGGAATATGATCCGTCTCTCCTCTGCATCCGGCCTCCTTTGTCCCTCATTAGTAGGAGGCTTCTCTGTGAGATGATGTGGGCATAGCTCCTACCCCAAGGGCCACAGTGCTGCCCTCCCCAGTGCTGGCATTGACGCCCCCCCTAGAGCTACCTCCTAAGCACATGAACTAGAAGAGGAGCGGGGAACTGGGACGCTAGGAACAGTTTGTTGAAACAAGCTAGTGGTCACTTGAGGACGATGGCAAACTCGGCACTGAATTTGCCACTGATGGCAGCCGTTGGACAAAGATTAGCAGGAGCTTGGTCTGAACCCAGAGGACACACACATGCTCCACCTAAGTGGCCTGTTGGTGTTTCACTGCCTGGGGTTTTTTTGCAGCCGATCTTGTTGTGTGTTGGTGGTGTTGTCACCATTGTCATCAGCCTGAAGAGCCCATGGGGTGGTTACATCAGTCCTGGGAAGGACATGAAGGGCTGCTGGAGTGGTTGGATGCCTACCTTGGGGATGAGTAAGATGGCAGGCAGGAGGACATCAGCAGATTGATCAGGGCAAAGCTGCCCAGGACTGAAGCCCTTGATGGATATTGAGCCTGGACTCCCAGGGAACGTAGGGAAACACCAGGAGCAAACTACCAGGCAGGAGGCGATCACAATTTAAAATGCCACCATGTCCCTCTGACTGCCGTTGAGGTAAGATTCTCGGTAGAGTTTTGTTGTGGGGGGGTTTGTTGTAATTGTTCTTTTTGTTTGTTTAAATACATCTTACCATCCTGTAAAGACTGCATCTCCGTCAACTGGAGCAGGTAGCATTTTAATCTCTGAAATTTCTACTATGTCTTTTCCCTAGGAACTGTTTGGTTTCCATAGATTTGAGTGGGATCTGGAAACTGTAACTTGTTTTCAGTATTGTAGGGGAAGGGCCAAGCAATTTCATGGCCGAATTCTTCTGTACCCCTTTCCTTCTGTCTAAATTTTTATCTCAGCTTCCTCCTGTGCCTTAGGAGCTCTGAAGAGCATAGAGAACAGGAGCTGCAGGCCCTGTGGACTCTGGGAATAGAGACAATGGGGTCATCGCAGTTACGGAGGAAGAGGGTCAGCTCAGACATTTGCTGCGTTTGTGGAGAGTAAACTGTCTAACATGGAAGCACCATAGTGTCTTTTAGTGAGTTCTGTGACTCCCCAAGCCAGGCCGGTGGCTTGGCTGTGTGCTGTCTGTGCCTATGAAGTTCCCTGATCACTCCAAAGAGAGGAAAGGGAGTCCCATAGCCCCTGCCTATGTCTGTGGAGCCCAAGAAATCACATGTCCATGTGTTGCGACACTGAAGCTTTTACTTTTATCTTTATCTTGCCTGTTTTTATTTCTTGTAAATGCAAAGTTGTTTCATCTGCTCTCGTCCCTTTTGTGTGTCGCAGGATGTCAAAGTCTTCAGTGAAGATGGCACAAGCAGAGTGGTGGAGATTCTGACTGACATGACAGCCAGGGACCTGTGCCAGTTGCTGGTTTACAAAAGTCACTGTGTGGATGACAACAGCTGGACTCTGGTGGAGCACCACCCACAACTGGGATTAGGTAGGGGACTGGTTGCCTAGTTTGGGAACAGCACCTGGGTACCTCAGTTTTTGATCAAATGCATATGGCACAGCCAAATGCAAATGCATCGCCATCTCCTGCCACATGGGCAGGTGGTTGATAGCCTGCTCCGCCCCTCACTCCTTCTGGCCATGCCTTCTCCTAAATTTCACTCTCCTTCCCAATCCTCTCCCTCTGAGAATCCCACCTTGGGTGCTCAAAGCACAATAAGTTCCTAAAGGCTCATCCTAGGTGATAGGTTCTTCTTCCAGAGCCCAGGGAGTTACAGAGGCACTGAGTTACAGCTGCTACCCATTTCAGTGCAGTTCGGCCTGTTCATAGAAAAGGGGCCATTGTTCCGCTGTGGTAGGGACAGAGAGTCGGGATACATTATAAGTGGGTCTCTTGGGAATAAAGTGCCTGCATGGCATCTTTCTGAGGTGATGCCTACACTGTGTGTGCATGTGTACTAAGCCATATGTGCATCTGTACCCTGCCTGCGGAACGAAAGCGTATTTTATGCTATAGAACATCTGAAAACATGTACTAGTCCAGAACTCCGATGAGTTCATTATGTATATTATTGCTCAGTTGGTTCACCTCAGGTAAAGAACCCTGCCAGACTTTTGTTTAAAGGGGTCTTTTTAACACTAGTTCCTCCCTTGTTCGGGACAAGTGAAACACATTTTCCAAGTGGGCTAGATTTTAGAGAAGATTGTGTGCTTTTTTTAAAGTCTTTAAGATTCACCATCTTTAACTGAGCAACCCCAACACAAGCTCCTCTCTGCCTTCCAGATCTTTCACTTCTCTCCGTGTAAGAGACAGCGTGTGTGTGTGTGTGTGTGTGTGTGTGTGTGTGTGTGTGTGTGTGTGTGTGTGTGTGTGTTTGTGTGGTGTTTTGTTTTATTCAAACCTACCATTTGATTTAAAAGAAGAACACAGCTATGCAGCTCTTTAAAAGAAAACCCTGTTTCTGCCACAGCAATCTCTTGCCAGGGTCCCACTGATGGAAAGATGTGGTGCTGTGTGGTTCCTCTCAGAAATCCCCATTCACCTCTGGGCATTAGCCTAGCCTGCTGTGGATGCGTGAACCACAGACCTGTGGGAGGCTCTTTGTAATGGGTGTTGCTCTAGGGTGTGTGTTTTGGGTCCTGGCCTGAAGAGTGCAGCCTCACCTATACTCAGTGGGGAGCCACCCTACCCCACATTCCTGGGTATCGCCGCTGTCTCCATGGAAATGACTCTCTGAGGCAATTCTCTGTTGAGTCTTCTTATTAGGGAGGAGGGCACACAAAGGGGAAAGTCTTTCAGGCGGATTCTAAAACCGATTAAGACGCAAAACTGTTACAATTGGAGGCATACTGATAACACTGATATGTTTGGTTTCTGTGTGATCTCAGATTAAGGTTTTTCTAAACAAAGCTACTGCTCTGACTTTAGCAGCTGAAATGCTGGAAACTTCCGGGTGAGCACTTTCCATAAGGCCTCCCTGCTGGGAGTGCTTCAGCCTGGTGCTTGCAGATAGTGGGGGATAAGTCCGGCTAGTGTGCTAGCGCAGGGCACATGGGGAAGTCCCATCTGTGCAAGCCTGGGAGCTGCGTAGCTCTAGACTCTCCTACCACCGGGAAAGTTTCCGCAAAGAAGGCACGGTGACAGAGCATAGTCCTCCTGCATGTGTGGTAAAGAAACAGACAGCTAGAACAAAGTGTTGCAGAATACACTTTAAATGTCCAAAGGGGCATCTGGTGCTCCCTCCCTGTACTTGAGGATGGGCTTGCAGGGTAGGGCCGCTTGGTGCCAGGGCTGGAGACCTGAGTCAGCAAGCACAGGAAGGAGAGGGTCCCACAGATCCCGCACAGTTCGGTGGCTGAGGAGTGAGTACTATGGCTTGTGTGATTAGACAGGCACCCCAGGGAAGAGCGAGCAGTGACTTTTTAGGGACTGTTTTGTCCCAGTCAGATGCCACGGTGTCTTGGACACTGACACCCACAGAGCCCCCTTTGGGCCTCGGTTCCCAGAAGGAGCCTGCAGTGGGTTGGTGTTTTGTCCGTTACTGTTAATTTGAAAATGCCGAGTGATGTCTTTTCCTCATTAAAATATATGGATACAAAGAGAACTGCTGACTGGTTTGGCGTCAAGGTGGGTTGGACATGCCTCCTCGCGCAGCTCCATGATTCCCGGCTGTCTGCCTGTAGGCCTGAGACTTTCTACCAGAAAGGAGGGCTTCGGGAGGGATGGTTGAGCCAACTAAAAGGCTACATTGGGCCTCGTTCTGCCTTCTGTTGTGCATGATCTCTCCACGATTACTACCTGGGCTGGTCAAGTTTCTGCCGAGGCTCTAAGTAGCTGTGTATTTTAATTTCCTTTGTGAGTTGTCTGATGCTCAAGCCTTTCTGTCACCGAGTGAGATATTGACACAGATGCTGAATGTAGTTGCAGACATTTGAAAACTAGCAAATGGTCTTTGAGGAGTGCCAGCTTCTTTCACGTGAGCACATGCTACTTCCGGCATGTCCTAAAGAGCAGCCTTGGTCCAGGGTTACTCAGAACCCAGGAACAGCAGGCCCCTGAGGATAACTAGTTGTAGGTGACAAGTTTGCCTAGAGGCATTCCACAGCAGCCTGAGGAAAGTTTTAGCAGGGTTTCTCCACTGTTCCCCAGCTTACTGAAGAAGGAAACACAAGTTGACACTGCAGCTGGTTTGTATGAAGAACCACAGTGAGGCCCCTCTAGGGTCACCTGACTGGAGGGGGGGGCTGGGGAGCATGATCCTTGAGGGCTGCAGCTTGGTAGTCCCTGGTTACCTGAAACCACAGTGGGGCCCAGTTTCCCCTGCTCCTTCCCCAGGCTCCATGCCCTCCCCTCTGTGTACGTGCAGTATGTGTGCAGCCTCCCCGGCACCTCTCCCAGACAGCTACTGCTGCTGGTCAGAGCTGGACAGACCATACACAGCACCGGTCTTAGCTGGGAGCTCCCCACAGGGTCCTTTGTGCTCCTCGGACTTCTCTGGAGAACAGAGCACTTCGACTTAGCGCTAGCCACTTCATCCTTTCTTAAACAACCGCTACCCTCCCTCCCTCTTCTACTCTGTATTTTAAATAGAAAAGTAATTTAATCTGCAAAACAGCCACCCACAGGTTATGGAGTTGTTGAGATTTGTTTTTAAGTTTGTTTAGAATATTTTCTCCGAGTAAAACTCCTAATGGAATTTGCTGATCTGTTTTTAGACGAGAAAGTCTATTTAAAATGAATGAACTTAAGCCTGGCTGTTTTTTCAAACCATGCATCATGGTTTTAGTCAATGCTCAGGTTGTATGTGGTTATTCGCATATGTCTCGAGGAAATATAACCCTTGTGTAAACATAAGCGTTCATGTGTTACAGGGAAAATTCTCCCAGATAGAGGTAAATGGAAACTATTCTATGTTTGCACCAAGCATGGCTTTTCATGGTCTGTGAGCTTTTTATTTGCCATGGGAATAAATTCTGGTTTTAAATGTTTTTACCAAGATGTCCCCTTCTTACAGTATCAAAATGAAGGCCAAGATTGTGTCAACCCAGGATGTGCTCTTGGTAACAGAGGTGTTCCTCACAGAGAAGTGCCGATGGCCACAGTTCTCCTGTGTGGAGAAATTCTTTCTCCCAGTTCTGAGACCCCTTTAACTTAAAGTGGCTTTTCCTAAGCGGCTCCCTGCCTTCCCAGGCGAGACTCCGCTCTGGCAGCATGAGAGATGCCAGGGATTTAGGGTTCAGCCCCTGTGTCCACTTAATCTGTGTATGCCTGGCTGGCGTCAGGTCTCACACTGGGGTGGACCTAATAGTTTCTTCCATTGTCTGATGTGGTTAGTTCTGTCGTCACCACCCCCATTATGACTTTTCAGGAACTTTGTGGGAGGAGCTATAGTCTCCATTCCCTCCATTCCACAGCAGAAAAGCACAGCCCCTCTCCGGCATGTTGTTTCTATCAGCAGGAGTTCTCCATTTTCCACACAGAAGGGGAGGTTCAGAGAGAGGGAACCATCCAGCCTTTTCAGGTCCTTACACAAGGTGTGCTGAGAGGTGTGTGCTTGTGTACACGTGAGTGTCCACCAGCACGCCATGCATGGCGAATGCTCTGTGTAGAATGTTCTTTTCATTGTCTTCACACATAATGCTGCGGGTGCATCCACTCCGTGGCGTGGCCAGTGCTAACTAGCTAGGTGTGAATGGTGAGTGTGTCGTACATCCAAGGCTGACAGCGCCTTGTCCGCGGCTCCCCTGGTCTCAGTACCTCCTGTATGCCCTCTGCTCTTACACACTGCCTATTGCAAGTCCTCTTGCCAGAGGTCCTTACCTTTCCTTGTTCCTGAGTGTTTTCCAAGTTGTGAGTTGTGATAGAATATTCACTGCAAGAGTTGAAATTTTGTAGTATAAGGGCAAAATCATTTGTACCCCTCTCATTAATGTTGTGTCGATGCCAAGTGCAAAAGGAACGCATACTCGTCAGCGCTAACCTGGATGTTGCAGTTTATTGAATTTTAAGGCCCCTTTTAGATAGATACCTGTCAGCATGTTCAAGAGAATTAAATTTAGTGTCGTTCCTGACATACTCTTTATTCTCAGTGCTTAAAGAAAAGGCTTTGACCTTGTAAAGTTGCCCTGACATTTCTCTCCACTCACGTGTGATGCTTCTCCCCACAGAGCGGTGCCTGGAGGACCATGAGATCGTGGTCCAAGTGGAGAGCACCATGCCAAGTGAGAGCAAATTCCTATTCAGAAAGAATTATGCGAAGTACGAGTTCTTTAAAAATCCGGTGGTAAGTGTCCTTTTGGGGTTAGCGTTGGAGCTCTTGAAATCTTGGAATTTGTACGTGGGTTGAATAGAACCTGATTATCAGATGACAAGCTGAGCTTGTGCTTACGTGGGCTTAAGAAGCTGATTCGGTAGTTAGTGAAACAGGCCTCACACACAACACCATCATAACTACTCGTCATTGAGACTGGTGAAGGAGGCTGTCTCCTAGCTCAGAGAGTAGAGATGTTCACACTGGAACATATTGATCCAGTATTCAGCAGAAGAGCTACCCATTAATCTTTGCAAATAGCAGAAACTCTCTTGATTATATGTTGGAATGAGCAGCAGTGATTGGCATGATGACATCGACTCCTTGACTGCTTTTTTTTTTTCATTTCTTTTTTTTTGGGGGGGGGATGCCTGTCATGTGACATAGTAGGAAAATGGATTTCATGATGAGCGTTTGGTCTTGTCCTGAGTCACCCACCAGGCAGACTGACAGTAAGTTCGAGGAGACTAGTATCCACTTGTGATTGTGATCATTTCACTGGTTTCCTGGAAAGAAAGAAACATAATGGGTTCTGGGTAATTCACAGTAGGCTTTTTGTACATCTGCAGTCACCTTGCTGTTATTTATTTTTTGGTTGTGGTTTTTTTGTTTTGTTTTGTTTTATGGTACTGAGGTTGTATAGGTTTTGACCAAAGAATGAGAAGGACTGTTGTTTACAGTGCAAATCATGATCATACCTGGAGACTTTTAATATTGGCAGGTGTGCTGTGTGTAATGCGCTTGTTTTCCTCCCCTCAGAACTTCTTCCCGGATCAGATGGTCACTTGGTGCCAGCCACCCAATGGCAATCAGGCCCAGCTTCTGCAGGTACGAAGCAAAAACTGAGTTCTTACTAAAGTAGACTTGCTGGAAATTTGAAATAAGGAGCAGATTCTTGCAATGCTCCGTCTTCTGAGGGCGCTTACAACATTGTGTCCACCCTGCTGTAGGAGCCATTTGCCTCTCCCTGTTTCAATAGTAACTGTTCTACACAATACCAATTTTGCTGGGATTTCGAGAAGTTCGAAGGAAGATAGTTTTGCCTAACCCCCTGTCCAAAAGTACTTTTAATAATTCAGGAAATGTCAGCTATGCGTAATAACATAACTGCTTCCATTATTTTATCTGCCTATTGCCTAATTTTAAAAAATGTGTTCCTTCATAGAATTTTCTGAACACAAGCAACTGCCCTGAGATTCAAGGGTTCCTGCAGGTGAAGGAAGTTGGAAGAAAGTCCTGGAAGAAACTGTATGTGTGCCTGCGCAGATCTGGCCTTTATTACTCCACCAAGGGGACTTCAAAGGTAAGTTTTAAAGCACTTCCCTTCTGCCTGAGTTAGGTATGCCCGCTGTGAACTTGGGCTTAATTTTTAAATGTGCCTTAACCTTTTATCCTAGTATTAACTTATTAATGAGCAACTTATGTAATGGATACTAGTCTGTCAGAAACACACACACACACACACACACACACACACAAGCTCCCTCGTCACATCACCCCTGCACTTCTGGAATACCTGGCCCTGTGGGTTGAGCACACACGTGTGTGGAACTTGGATTCAAGCTGGCTGGATTGTTTTTGTCCTGTATTCATGAGTAAAATATGGTTCTGGCTCTACTGGCACAAAATTTTAAACATTGTATAGATCATATAAAATAAAGTAGAATCTACGGTAACACATAGCTGGCGTTTTTAGCTTATGCTGCTGTAAGGATTCCATGCTGTCATTTCAGTTTCATGTGGAGGACCAGTAGAAAGATGAGGGCTGCAAAGTGGCTACACACTTCAAAATGAGCTTTTAGCACTATAGACTTTTTCCAGGGACTGTGACCCAACACTCTGCTTGTGTTTTGCAGGAACCCCGTCACCTGCAGCTGCTGGCTGACCTGGAGGAGAGCAGCATCTTCTACCTGATTGCTGGAAAGAAGCAGTACAACGCCCCCAATGAGCATGGGATGTGCATCAAGGTACTCCACAGGATGCTTCCCGTGGGCTGGTGCTGGGAACTGTGCACAGGCTTCTTCTCCTGCCCAGTATTTGGTCGTGGGCCCTTTTGCTTCAAACAGAAATGGTTTTTACACTGACTTTACTTTGTGCTTAGTACTTGGTGGGTTTTTGAATAGTCGTACTCAATGTACTCAGTGACTTAGAGCCGGGTAGCTCTTGGCCTCCTGCTCCGGGTGAAGCTTTTATCTGGTCACAGTAGAGTCAGAAGCTGGTTAGGAGGGGGGACTCCTAGCCTTACACCCAGTTATCTGTAGCCACTGAGTGAACTGACACTGTTTGTGTGGGCTTCTGGTTATGAGGATAGACCACAATATGCCTACCCTCTATGTGTGTGTATGAGCACACTGGCACATGAACATGTGTGTATGCCTGTAGTCAGAACACACAGATGTGAACGTGTACTCATGGATATAGTGCAGATATGCTTACTTGTGCACACACACACACACACACCATGGCTACATTTTATTCCTCTTGGTAAGATCGCTCACTGTTGCACTGGTGGGGTTTTCATTTCTACCCTAGCCAAACAAAGCGAAAGTCGAGATGAAGGAGCTGCGTCTGCTCTGTGCTGAAGATGAGCAGATCCGTACTTGCTGGATGACAGCCTTCAGACTCCTCAAGGTATGTGACTCGTGGCTGCAGTGGCTGTGTCCCATGCAGAACAAACAACTGAATGTGGCATCGTCCTGGAACAAAAATGCTACGATGCTTGCACTATTGAGTCAAAATTTGTTCCCAAGTGTAGTTGTCCATTCTTCTACACAAGATCTCAGAGCACAAAAAAGGGGTAGAGCCAGGTTTTCTAACTGAGCACCATCAACTGTTGGTGGAAATTGATTCTTTGTGAGCTAAAAGGGGAGACCTAGGCATTATAGATCGCTGCCCAGGAGATACCTCCCGTCAGTGGAGGCAGCCAAAAATACCCCTAGATGTTTCCTGATGTGTATCTCTGAGCATCAAGGGATAAGAAATTTCCCCGCAGTAGACAACGCTCAGTTCTAAGCCTGTGCAAAGTCTGTCATCTGAGTGACAGGATGTAAACCAGCCATGAAAGGAATGCTTTCTATATGTTAAAAAAATGAGATTTCTAGGTGAAGTGTACATGCCTAGAATCCTAATAGTTGGAAGTGGAGGCAGGAAGATTGTTGAGTTTAAGGCCAACTTAGACTTTATAGAGAGACCCTTTGTTTAAAAATAATAAATAAATAAATAAATAAATAAATAAATAAATAAATAAATGAACAAATAACGATCCCTGATTTAGAAAAACTACTAATTTAAAAAAACAAGTATACATCAGTGTTAGGATATCTTCCATTTTGTGTGGGAGAGAGGCAAAATCAAAATTTGTATTTGACTTTATGGCGCAGGAATAAGAAAGATAACTGAGAGATAGCCCCACTGTGTAAGTAAGGACAGATGCTAGCCACAAGCCTTTACATTTCTACATAGGTTTGATTTTTTTTAATCTGAAAATGTATGTTTTTTAAAGGCAACAAAAGAAATAGAAAAATAGCAATGTGCACTGTAAAACAATGTATTATCACACCACCTTATTAAGGTGGTGATATGTAGACCCCAGCTCCCCACTGTACCGTGTGTGAAAACTGTAGCATAGTCACAGGAGAGGAGATAGGCAGAACCGACTAATTGGCTTCATCATGAGGTCTTACGCCGTATCAATGCTAACATGACACCATTAGCCTGTTCCGAACACCCGTGCCTCCATGCCCAACCTCGTGTTCTCCTCACGGCAGCTTTGTGTCACGATTGTCTCATTCGCAGGTAACAACACTGAGGCTGGAGGTGTGGCCGCTGGGGTGTGGCAGAGCCAGGTTGAGAGCAGCGCTCTGGCTCCTGAGCTCACTTCCTAAGTACTGTGCTTTGCTGCCCTCCCTGAGAGCCCTGGGCAGTTGCATGTCCACTTCCTGTTTTGGTTTGGTTTGGTTTATTGTTTTGACAGAGGGTTTGTATGTGGCCCATACTGGCCTCAAACTCAAATCTTCCTGCTTCAGCCTCCTCGGTATTTTGGAATAGATCTGATTCTGCATTGAGTTCTAGCGTCCCAGCTGCCGCGCAGGCCCTATTTGATTCCCAAGGTCTCAGGACACATCTTGAAGGGCACTTCTTACAGGAGGCAGTGCCATACTTAGGTGCAGCCTGCCGACTTGCCAGTCTCCAATGAGGTTACGGTAGAATTTTCTGTTTCTGTCACAATTCCTTGTGCTGTAAGGTCATTGACATTCCTAAGCAGCTATGTAATTATTGCCTACCATACACCAAGCTGTTTCTCCCCTCCTGATAGAAGTCATTTTAGTTAAAGGTGGAAAGCAAGATTAGGCTGGCCATGTGGTAGTGCAGCTTCGTACTACCTTCAGCATGGGAAGGTCAAAGCCACAGGAAACCTAGAACCTCTCCTGTTTCTTATCCCTGATAAGTTCCCCAGCGTCCTTCTTGGCTGTAGAAAGCAAGACTAGGCAGGACCCATGAACCCAACCTCCTTGGGCTTTCTTCCGTGCTTTCCAGCCTTTCCTCCCAAATCCCCAATGAGGACAGAGACTTCTAGACCCTCAGGATATAATGAAGGCTCACGCAAATCCCAGTTTAAACTCCTGTTCCTGGCTCTGTATGTGCATTTCCCTGTCCATTCCTTCTTTCTGTCTGTCTGTCTTTTGCAGAGTTAGGGGTTAAGCCCAGGGCCTCCCACATGCTGGGCAAGCACGGTACCACCGAGCGCTAACTCTAGGCCTCTTTTTCCACATTTTAAGGTACAAGCTTTCTCTGTAACTCAAGAAGGACCTGACTGATCCTTCTGCCTCAGCTGGGATTATACCCCATGTATACTCTCTCCTTTCTTGATGCCATGCCTGTGGCATCTGTGTGTCCCGGCAGTGCCAAAGTCTCCCTCGGGCTGCTGGAGAAAGTCACCAAATGGGGAGTTTGAATTAAAGATTGTAGGCTCCCAGCACAGATAACCAACTATCAGGTTGTGTGTTTTCTCGTGAAGGTTTTGGTCTGTAATGCAAGTCCTTGAGCTTCACCCTCTCAAATACTCTTGCCCGCTAGAAATGGGCTGGGTTTTTGTCTTGTTTTAAATCTGGAAAAAGTGAATTCAACGTGGAGGTTTCCTTGCTTTATTACAACTGTCAATGTAGAGATCCTGGAATCCTAAGTCATCCTGAAAAGTCACCTCCCAGCACCCCTAAGCCTGTCTCACTACTGTTTCTGATTAGTGGGCATGGACTTGGCGTCAGCAGTGTTAAAACAGTAATTTATGTCACATTGCGATCCTAGGGCTTTGGGAAAGGAAAACTTTGTTATTTAAAAATAACTAAGGCTGTCTTACATCTTGAAGTGCTTGCATAGGTGTGCTTCCCTTTGGAAGAAGAAAGAAGCACAGTCTGTAAAGGCAAGGCTGTGCTCAGGCTACAGACTGAGAGTGGACAGTGTAGGACGTGGGGTCAGACGGTGCTCCATCCTTCCATTGCATCATCCAGTCACTCTTGGACACAGGGCTGTGCCGAAGGGTCAGAAAGTCGTAACGGTTACCTACTTCTCATGTTCTCCCTGCCTTGCTGAAAGTTTCTTAAACTGATGTAAAAAATTCCCTCCACAAAATGTCTTGCTGTGTCAGCACAAGAGCCTGTCATTGTGGTTGCTTTGGTTTTAAATTACCCCGCCCTGAAAGGCAATTAGGTTCATGTTCAGCAAGACAGCAGACCACCAAGAGGCATGAGGAGCCTCCTCTGCAAAAGCGCTTTGACAGTAGGGCTAGCATATTGGAAACAGAAGAAATTCACTGCAGTGCTATGAAGCAGCTACAGGCAGGGATCAAAGCTAGCTCAGCAGTATGCAGAGCAAAAGGCTGCACCCATTGTAATGAGGTCAGAGAAGCCTTGCATCGTGGAGCCTGGGCAAGCCAGAGAGGGTAACAGACCAGGAATCATGGAATGAATTGGGTGGTGGCTCAGTGTCTTTAGCATTTCCTGTACAGATGTCCCCCTTTGCAAATACTCCCTCCCAGGTTCTACCTTAGACTTAGACCTAGGGTTCCACACAGTCAGTCCGCAGTTACTGGAAGGAAACATCTCCTGTTGATGGCAAAAATGAAACACATAAGGACGGGTGTGGCAAGTTTGACCAGACCTGAAGCAGCTTATGTTCATGGTGAGAATATGTCCCTTCGTAATCCTTCACTCTGTAATAGTGGCCACTTTACCTAATGATGTTAAAATAGCCTTTGTTTTATAAAAATATTATTGAGACTAGGTGGAAGCTTTGGGTCTATTTTTGTGCATAGAAGTTAATTATCTAATTTGATAAATCAGATGCCAAACTTCAGGCAATTGGAGCTTTTTTTTTTTTTTGATCCCTCCCCCAAATCTATTTCTTTGTCATATCCAAAATGTAAGCATTGTTGATTTAGTCTTTTCCTAAAGTTGAATCAAGTGATTCTTAAAGATCTTCATAGCAAAATGCTTCCCTGTTATCATCGCAAAATCTGTAACTCTCCAGTATGACAGACAGAGAAAAAGACCTGATTTTCTTTTAAGTGTAGTATATTAGGGTATTATAGATTAGCAGGCATCCCACAGTCTCAGTAGCTTGTAACAGCAGACTTACTCCTACTAGAACTTGGCAGGCAAAGTCTCACTTTCTAGTTAGATGCTCAAGCCTACCGTGGCCTATGCTACTTCTGAACCAGGGACATGGCCCATCGAGTCATTGGGCCTCTGGAGGGCTCAGCCTAGTTGGACTTAATGGATTCCTTTTCATTAACATCTGTGCTAAATAAGGTATGCACCCATGTGATTACAGCTCCCTCCTGGTTAAAAAGAAAGAAAGAAAGAAAAACACCTCTTTAAGTTTGTCATGTATTCCTGGAGTTGAGCTGCAGTCTTTGAAGCATGCTTTGACCATGTCTCTAAACCTTTTTGTTTTCTTTGCATAAAACAGTAAACTTGCCTACTATCTCACATAAGAACTTCCATGTCTCACTAAGTTACTAGAGAAAGATCTGTCCTTTTATTCAACGTGTTGGGTCTTCCAGGGTTAATGGCCAGAATGAAAACTAGGCAATAAAGGAAATCTGTCAATTCACAATGGGTTCACAAAGCAAATGGATTCCTTTCATTAGATCCCCAAACTCAACCCCATTTGTAATGTTAAACTCCTGTGAACTTTATTGATGTGCTTATGGTTCTTTATTATGTTAATTTATTAATTAGTTTCTTTAGGGGAATGTGTGTGGGCATGTGTATAGAGGTCAGAGGACAACTCTCCTTCCACCATGTGGGTTCTGGGGACCAAATTCAGGCTTAGTAACAAGCACCTTTACTCTCTGAGGCCTCTCCCCAGCCCAGGAGGATATTTCTTAACATGGTGAGTTCTGAATGTGGAGACATGCTGTTGTCTCTTTACACAAAGAAACAAAATGATCCACTGTTACCTTGACCCTTTACAGTTTAGGAGAATCACATTTAATTTGACGCAAGTAGGAAGTGAGAGTCCACACTGTAATGAATCAGGAAACATTGTTAGGTCATACTTTATTTTTCTGAAGCAGTAGAAGGAATTACAAAGGAAATAACATTAATTGGCCTATACATGTATCTTTGAAGCCCAGTCAACTAAAATAAAAAGGGAGATGAAAGAAGGTAACTCTATAGACAGCTGGTACATAAATGGCTAATGGCTTAACAATTTCAAGTCTTTATATGAATACAAGTAACTACCATGTAGGTCCTTGTATTTTTAAGTAGCAACAATGTGAACTTGTAGTCTTTAAAGTACAAGTATGAAAACAGTCTACTTCCTTAGTAACTGAGATTTTTAAAACCATTTAAAAATACTATGTAAATTAAAGTATAATTTTATACACAATACCTACTTGTTAAAATGATCTGTCTGAAATAATTTATAGGTCAAGGAGAGAATGCAAAACAGAATCAGAAGATATGCCTATGCCAGTTGAGTAATTATAAAAGTACCACAAGTTACAATTACACTAGAACTTTAGAGGCAAATTTTTAATGTTGAATACATGTTTAAAAAATAAGTAAAACTTTAAGTCAGTGATCTAAGTGTTTACTTAAAGACATTCTAGAAAGACACTCAGGTTGAACCAAATACAGAGCAAAGGTTCTGAAAGGGAAAAAAAGCCTAAGGGTAATATACTTCCAACTTTGTAATTCCAGGTTGAGTGACCCTTCTCAAAAATACTTGGGATAAGAAGTACTATGGATTTTGGCATTTTGTGACATAGGAATATTTGCATAAATGCAGTGAGATGTCATGGGGATAAGGACCTATATCTAAACTTAAAATACATTTATTTCATATATATGTTTTACACATAACCTGAAGTAATTTTATACATTTGCTTGGGTTTTAATAGTGCCTTTTAACATAAAGTCAAATGTTGGATTTTCTACATGAGATGCTATATTTGATTTTAGAAAACTTTAGAGTTTAGATTTATTAGGTGTGCCACAGTGGGTTGTGGGAAGAGGCATGCAGGCAAGTTTGGGAGACCCTCTAGATCTCTCTCCCCTCATTAATGAACTAGGGTTGCAAATTCAGCAAAACTCTTATAGTGAAGGGAAAGGTGTGAATGAATAGCCTGAAAGTAATCCAGAAGAGAGGAGTCAGGTGTACCATACTTGAATCTGCTAACAAAAATGTACGCTAACACGCCCAGAGCATTACTGACTGGAGAAGCTCACCCAAGCCTTAGTGTGGACCCCAATTTCCATGCATTGTTGGCCATATGGAACTATCACTTATGTGGCTGTCCTTATTCCCTAGCATGGCCCCAGGCCCAGGATGACTCACACTCTTAACATAGGCTCTGTGGTCTGGCCCTGGGCCACAGTTAAGCACTTATATCAGGCAGGCCCTTCTAACGACTCAGAGAGGCCATCTCTCAGAAGCTGGGGCAAGCTTAACCTGATTCCCATCTCTCTATTTGCCTTCACACCCACAAACCCATATTTGCTTGACTGGCAAGATGGCACAGTTGTAAAGTCTTTGCCATGAAAACATAAAGACCTGAATTCAAATCTCCATCACCTAGATGTGGCAGTATGTCTGTAACCCCAGTGCTGAGGGAAGAAAAGGGAAGATCCCTGGAGTTCCTGGTTGGTCAGTGGAAAATCCTGTCTCAAAAACGACTAAGGACTTCCCCATACGTGTACATACACAGAGACAGACCACACACAAGCATATACTTGTATGTGTACAGCCTTGCCTAGCCACAGGCTCCCCATTCTCAGAACCAACCAAAACTGATCAGAAATGCTCTTTAATAAAATTACATGTGAGAATTGGGGGGATGGCTCAGTAGGTAAAGTGCTTGCTATACAAATCTAAGGGTTTAAGTTTCCCTGCCCCGGCACCCACATAGAGAGCTGGGCGTGGCAGTATACATACAGCTGCAATGGTTGAGGCAGGCAGTTCCCAGGCTAACTAGTTAGCTACTCTAACCCAGATGGCAAGCTCCAGATTCCGTGAGAGGCTCTACTTCCAAAGATAAGGTAGAAAGTGATAGAAGACCCTAGACGCTTGTGCAGTTATAGGGAGGTGTACATAGGTTCTGTGCCAATGCTGTTTTGTTTCTTGTAGTGTGCCCCAGAAGCAGTTCCCCTGACAGCTACTGAGGGAGTACTATATACAACCATGCTTATGTGACTAAGTTCAATTGTATGCATTACTAGGTGCTCAGCAGTGTAGATTATTTATGACTGACAGGTTTCTCAGTCTGTGTCATGGTAAAACATGGTTCATTGTTTCCAGTGATGTTTCTTGCCCTAAGGCCTTATTCATCTGTCTAATGCTAGTATGACTGCCTCAGATGATCTGATTAGTGTTTGCATAATTTTTCTTTCACAAGAAGCATTTACATTTTCCCTGTATGCCTGTTTTTCATACATTGATTTTTCTGTTTTCCAGTAGCTACCACAGCACCACAACATGCATCTTTTTAACGTATTAAAAAGCCGTGTAATTTAGTCCTCTCATCACAGTCAGGCTGACACAGAGCTTTCTTCATTTCCCTCACCACCTGTCTGACATGTTCTTGTGAATAATCATTGTCTGTGCGTTAAAACCCCCTAAAGTGCACTGCTGTGCTTCATATACTCAAATCTTATTTTAATCATCCGCTTACTTGCACTGCAATTTTTCCCAAACGTGCATTCTTCTCTGAGGGACTAGAAGAACTCCGCTTTTAGCAATCTGCCATGTGGACCCAAGAAACTCTTTAATGTTTTCTCCTCTATTTTTTATTTTTTTAGCAGTTTTCTCATAATGTGTCTGGTTTATGTACTCTTGACTGTGTGGTTTTCTTCTCAACAATATGGGGGGAATTCTTGGTGATTTCCACTTGGAACACTTGTCCTGCCCTGTCCTCTGTCTTCTCTCCCAGGAGAGCACTTACACTCATGGAGAGCAGCTTTGTCATGCTGTGTACGTTGGTGCTTTAGGAAGGAAGTGTGGTCTGCAGGACCGAGAGCTGCAAGAGGGTTGAGACCCTGGAAAGCAAGGACAAGACAATGATGCAGCGCTTTAGAGCCTTATTCCCTCTTCCTAGTGCTCGTTCCAGTTTGGTGTTTTGAATCAATAGTATTTTTTTGGTCTGTTCAAAGTATGTTAGACCTCTGTCTTCTGGAGACTGGCTTTAGAACCAGCTATGTGTACCTGAGTCCTGCGCTCTTACCTTCTCAAGTCCTTGTGTTTCAGTTCCGTTCTCTGTAAAGTGGAGCTGATGACCGTGTGTAGATCATAATAAAAACAGGGGTGGTGAATTAAACAGATCGCTTAGTACAGTGCTTGACTCGTGCAGAACTCAGGAGTCCTTCCTGACCTTGGTATTACCATATGTGTTGTTGCCCTCTCTCTCCCTTTCCCTCTCCAACAGTTCCAGACCAGTCAGCACCCCCCTCTCTTCCAGGATAGAAGTTCTGAGGCAGAACTGAGCAGAAGCACGCCATCTTCAGCGTGTTAGGCTCATGGGGGGGGGGGGGGGGATTGAGTGGGGCTTTGGCAAAGAGTGGTTGGTTCTTATGTAACAGCACTGCCCTCCTGGCTGTGGGGCTTGCTCTGGGCTGGGGCTCTGGGGGCTCTTGGGTGCTAGTACTGACTCTAGTCTTTCCACTTCAGTATGGAATGCTCCTGTACCAAAACTATCGCATCCCACAGCAGAGGAAGGCTTTGCTCTCTCCTTTCAATACACCTGTGGTAAGTAGAAGACCCTCGACAGGCAAGTCTCGTGGGAACCTCATTGCAGCATGCCTCACCTGTCCCCAAAATATCAGCAGCCACTCCCAGTTCTCCGAAAACCATCTTTCTCATCATTGGCTTTTGTTCCTTTAAGTCAGGGGACCCATGAATATTGAAGTCATTCCTTGGCCAGGATATTGAGAGTATGACCACCCCTGCTCCCCAGAAGTGCAGAAATGTACTGTATTATCAATGTGATCTTAAAGATCCTCTGGTATCTATTCCCAGGAGACAGCAAACATGTCCTAGAAGAGTCTAGTGTTTGCTTCCCTGAACTAATGCCCCGAAGCATGGTCTGCAGTGAGGAGTTGGGGATAGACCAATCAATCTCCCTTTCTCTTCTTTTCTTTTTAAACAAAGGCCAAAGCCATTTTTACCATTTTTTTGTGTGGTTCCATTTAAGTCACTGAGTTTTCAACCTGAAACAGCACCCATCTTTACGATTGTCCCATGGGGTGATGTCCAGCCTACTGTCCTGGCTGATTTTCTCTGCATCTTAGAATCTGTGGCTTCGCTTTACAGCGCAGTGTCTCTGAGAATTCTCTGGTGGCCATGGATTTTTCTGGACAAACCGGAAGAGTGATCGATAATCCGGCTGAGGCCCAGAGTGCTGCCCTGGAAGAGGGCCATGCCTGGCGGGTAAGGCACTAACCCCATCTTGGTTGAAACTGGTTACACACAAACACCCAGGTTTTGCCAAAAGGGCTCTACTGGTGTTGGTAAGAGGGAGTTGTGGGAGTAACTGCAGGAAGCAGCTGGCCCCAGGGGCCCTCCATGCTGTCAGGGTTCCACACCACTCTGTCCTGAGCTGTTCTTGCTGATAAATTACTAGTGGCTGTTTGTGGAGGGCACCAGGCCAGACGTTCGTATGAGGACTCCACAGGGAACAGTTCTCTCACTAAGCTCAAGTGCTGAATCTGCAGATGGGAAGATTATCCCCCAGCTCAGGTTTCCCTGAAATTTAAAGACCATGTGCAGAACACCTGCCCAGTGCTCTGCTTAGAAGACATTCCCAGTCCTGCAGCCATAGTGTGGGAAAAGGGCAAAAGTCTTCAGCGCGGGGACTCTGGAGAACAGGGCTCCAGGAACTGCCAGAGTTGAAAGCAGTAGCCTGGGCTGCCCTGCTGAGTGTCTAGGGTCTGCATCATAGGTAGCCTGAGTAAGAAGTGCATGGCTGCCTCAGTACTGGGTTGGCTAGAAATAGCTAAGATGCATTTACTTCATTTTCTTTACCATTTTGGCCAAGAAACTCTTTATTCTCCATAGTCAGGTAGTGTCATCAAAGTCTAAGGGTTTGGGGACACTGCTCATCCACCCTGTCCTAGATGGTGGGTGGCTTGGCACATGGTTTCTCATCTTTGCTAATGTGGGCATTTCATCTGCAGAAGAGAAGCACACGCATGAATATTCTAAGCAGCCAAAGTCCCCTTCATCCTTCTACCCTGAACTCGGGTAAGCACGCTAATGGCTTTGTGTGGTGTGTAAAGACAAAAAGAGCCCTGCCTGCTCTCTGAACCTCACTGAGCTGTGCACAGTGCTGCAGGAGTCGTTGTCTGGGCTCTTGGGTCTCCGCAGAGGAGCCAAGTCTTACCTCTTCTCCCCCATCTTCCCCCAGTGATTCACAGGACTCAGCATTGGTTTCATGGACGTATCTCCCGTGAGGAGTCTCACCGCATCATCAAACAACAAGGACTCGTGGACGGGTAAGAAACCCCACTGCGTGAAGCCGTCATCTATGGAAGGCTCACTGTGCTGAGCATGTGCCCCACCCCACCACTCAGTGCCCTGCCGAAGCCAGTGCAGAGGCAAAGTTACGAGATGATTCTGAACTCTCCTGTCCAGGATGTACCCAGATGTGCCCTTTACCCCTTAGATGAAATTTAAATAGAAAAGAATAAGGCTAGTTACTTTTAGGTAGTAAACAAATAGAAAAAAAGGAATCACCAGCACTTACTTGTTTATACACTTTATAAAATTGTCTTTTACTAAGAGCAGGTTGTTGTGGCTTACACCACAAGACGCTTTCTTCTCACAGTTGTGACTGCTCAAGTGTTGTCTCAGCGCCAGGCTGGGCAAGACAGCAGGATGGCTTCACTGATGTGTGTAGATGATGGGAGCCATTGGCCGGAGTGACTGGAAGCATGCTTGCTGCAGGTTGCCCTACAAGCATTCACGTCATAGCTGTCACAGGACAACCAGGGCCAACAAGAGGGTTTGGACCTCAGAGTCACGGCTGCTGTTGTTCTCACAGTGGCCGCCAGCAGCCCAGGACAAGTGTTCACCTTTGCTTTCATCTTCCCTGGCACCCTATCTTCAATAGAAATGGCAGGTAGATAATGGCAGGGACAGCCATCTGATGATCAGACAGGAACACTCCCAGTGTTCTGTGCGTGAGTAACCATGTTCTGTGTTGCTGGCATCTTCTCTAGGGAAAAGCTTCTCTCCCTGGTGGCCCGTGAGCACTCTCTGACCCTCTAACACAGACCATTTCAGCTTCATCTTTGTAGTTTCCCTGCCTTACCAGAGTCAGCCATGTTCTCAAGGGTTCCTGCCAAATGACATCCTAAACTCTCTTCTGGATGCTGTTGCCACCAGAAGCCACTCAGGTGCCCAAACACCAAAGTGTCATAGCTATAAGCCCATTTTTCTCAGGCAGGTCTAGCTGGTGTGCAGATGTACACATGTGTGCTCGTGCTTGGGGATGTGGATTTTAAGAGAGTTGATAATAAAGTGCTGGTTTCCACTCCACAGGCTGTTCCTCCTCCGTGACAGCCAGAGTAATCCAAAGGCGTTCGTACTGACACTGTGCCATCACCAGAAGATTAAAAACTTCCAGATCTTACCCGTAAGTGCCGATACCTTCCAACCAGTCCTTCCATTCCTAGTGTAATTTCCAATTTAAACATAACAAACTATATAGATAGTAGCAGACAGCTTCCAATCCAGGAAAGCAGTTCTCAAGAGTCTCCATAAGGGAATGGTGCTGAGCGTGGTGCTGTTGCCTTGAGACCTCTCAGCCTATAAGTAACCATCCAGGAGACTCTAGGTCTACTAGACACTCCCAGCAGGGTTGACCTTGACTGTTTTCAACGAAGGAATGGTCCGAATTGAGCCGATGTATCTCATAGCCACTCAGATTTACAGAGGAACTCACTGATAGTACGACCAAGGAGAAGTCGTGCTCTGTGCCCACTTGGTCGTTGGATCATGAAACAGCTCTACCCTTGGCCCGCTGTGTGTTTGCTTGTCAGCCAAGGGTTACAGTTTCTCTCATCCATATGAACCAGGCAGTGGGGCTTTACCATTCTGCCCCCTTCTGTTGTCACTGAACTTAACGAATCACAAAAGATGTTAGACGTTCAGTTCTTCCTCAAAAAAAACCTAACTGTGGTATCATCTGATTTCACGGAAACAGCCACCCAAGGATCCTTAGACTCTTACAGGGATACAGCAGCTGTCTTCTAATAGAGTCAGGTGAACTTCAGGCTGTTCAGGAGATTGGTTCAACCCTTTGACGAGAATAACCGCAGAGTGTAGTAGATGCCCACGTTGGTTGGTGAACTTAGCTTCCCGAGGCTGGTCAGCTAGAAGCAGTTTTAAAATGTGTCTGAACCTCAGAAAGCTGTGCAGCCAAGCCATGACCGGTGGCCTTTGTCCGCCTCACGGTATCACACAGTGTGGTTACAGCACGGGGCCCAGACACTGGCTCCCTACCCACCGTGTCCTCTGACCCACCTTGCCAACTTTGTGTGTGGCTCTCAGGAACAGAACCATGAGCAGGCAAATTTGCCCCTGACCGCAGGCCACGGGGTGTCCCCCAAAATCACATCCTCTAATGTGGCGAGTGCTTTCTGTGTCTCTGCAGTGCGAGGATGATGGGCAGACATTCTTCACTCTGGATGATGGGAACACCAAGTTCTCCGATCTGATCCAGCTGGTTGACTTCTACCAGCTCAACAAAGGTGTTCTGCCTTGCAAGCTGAAGCACCACTGCATCCGCGTGGCCTTGTGACCTCCCTGCCCTGTCACAGAGGCTGGGGGCAGCAACACTGCAACGGAGAAGAGAGGCCTGCATGAGTGTGATAACACACACCCACTCCCCAGCAACTCAGAACATCATGGCTTTCTGATCGGTGCCAACCGACCAACATCAATTAGTTATTGGGCTTCACAAAGATTTGCCACTGCGGATCAGGCAGGGCCACCCCCCTGTGCGTCAGCCATTTAAATTAGGGGAGGGGTGAGATCCAGTGCAAGTGTGGGAAGAAACTGGAATGACAATTTTGATTAGGCCACGTAGGGTGAAAACCGCAGAGAAATTATTGGAAATGAACTCTTGCCCTGGAGTAATCTTGACAATTTAAAACCGCGATGTTTACTTTTTGTATTGATCACGTTTTTTGCACTCCTTCTTCGTTGTCAATGTTGTACTCGGCCTATATGGTAGGAGGGGATGTGGCTTTGCAACCCAGATGAGACAAGGAATTTTGAATTGGCAGACTTCAGCCTGAAAAATTGGTCCCCAAAGTTTTGTCAAGGGCATCCTGCTTTCCACAGGTTGCCACAGTGTAGATTTGGCTCCTACATTATAGACACCCCAGTCCTTCCCATTATACTTGAAACGCTTCTGTTTTAAAAAAGAAAATAAGATAAAATAATGAAATACAAGGTGTCGACCGCAGTTGACACCACGCATGTTTTGTGGACTCAGTCAAGCTGCCACAGTCTGGTCATCATTGTGCTGACGTCTGGTCGTTTATTATTAGTGTGTCTCGTTCTCCATAGTGCAGGAGACCTCATTACTTTGGAAAACTCGCTGTTCTCCAGCACAGCACAGCTGCATGACCTCAGCTTCAGACTGATGTCAGCAAGCCTTCTTGGAACACATTGGTATTCATTGTAGATGGCACCCCGTCCACCTGGGGTGCCCTGTGCCTCCCGTTTTCACAGCCACTGCTGTTGTAGAATAATTGCTGCCTTTGCCTTCTGCGTAGCCTCAGTCATTTCAGCTCACCCACAGGGTGGAGTGGGGTGGCGGGGTGAGAGGCACTCAAGAGAAAATGTCAACTTGTTGGCTTTGTGCTCTGCCACTCTGAGCATCTATGGTGACAGAGATAAGGAAACACTGCAGAGGGCGCCGGCCTAGGCTGGCTTTGAGTCTTTGCTGATGGTCTCTGCTCCCTACTGAAAACCCCCTAAGCCAGCAGGGGCAGGGTATGCAGAGGCTCTGCCTCTGCTGGCTTCGGGTGAGAAGTACCTCACAGTGGTTGTGAACATTGGACAGTTTTGTTTTATTTTTTTTAGCAGCATGATGTTTGCTTCCTCCTCCAAGAGAGGAGTCAGAAGGTGGCTGGAGTTGTCATTGGCTCCCCTGAGCCCCCATGGAGGACCCTCTGTTCTCCCCTTAATGATTTTTATCAGGCATGAGGGTAGCAGACAGGACTCCCTTGAGAAACACAGACAACCGTGGTGTGAACAGGTTTCCTTTCCTGACACCACACCTGACTGGCCCTTTGAACCTGAGCTAGCCACTAGATTGCCAGTCCCGACTTGCGAAGCGCTCCCCAGGGAGCACTTCTGATTGCCTGCGGTTGACGGCACACAGTGGAAGATAGAGGTGACATCGCTTTGTGAGCAGGTCTGCTGCAAGCTGGTCCACAGTATAGAAACACTGTAGTTCACAGACCACGCAACCGTGTTTCCACGAGATGTTTATTACAGCAAATGAAGAATTTTTTTCTTTTTATCTTTTTATCTTTTTATCTATCTTTTATTGTTTTTTTTAGTAAAACATTTTCTTAAGCATAAATGCTCAATTGCATTTCTCTTTCTTTCGCAGCTAGTTAATCATTCAGTTGACAATGAGATAATTCTCAAGTTCATGCCTGGCAGCAGGTTTCCACTAATCTTCCCCTTAGGGACAGATAACGGACATTTCAGTTTTGCCATGTTCATTTCTCTTTGCTGACTTAAGGTCAGAACTTTACAAAACAGACAACAAGCAACTCTAGGGTTTCTTTCTCCAGTTTACACAGACCAGTCCCCACAGTGCATAATCATTTTCTTTTGCCTCTACAGTAGACAGCTAGGAAGTGTATCTCATATTTATAAGTATGCATTTTATTTAAAAGGAAGTATAGGCTTGACTCTGGTTCACAATTTTGTACGTAGCTGGTTTGACGTAGTATTTTGTACTTCCCTAGCCGAAGTGAATTGTTGAAGGCTGCAACCCGCATTGAGTGTAGCAGACTTCAGTGGCCTCGAGCTCGCCAGCCTTTGCACAGGCAGCTGGGAATTCCACCTGAAACAGCTAGTCCCTGGGGTAGTGGGTACCCATCCCCCCTAGCCAGAGACTGAAGGACAGTTGACTTTTATTTTTGTATTTAATTGACATGAATGTAAAGGGGACAGCTCAGGGTTGTTTTGGAGCCTGTTTGACTTTGTAATCTCTGCCTGTGATTTTCTTTTCCAAATGAAAACTCCGAGTAGCCACCAGGACTAAGTTGAGAAGGAAAATGCCAAATGCTTTGGGTTTTTAGAGTTTTAATAGGTAGGCTCTGTTATATTATTAGATGTTAGAGTTTCTGAACGTGTTTTTGTTTGCTTAAACTTTGAAGAAATATGTGCCTCAGCTTAGATGTTTTGTCTCCCCTTTGTGCACTTAAATACCTGACAGTCTGTCCGATCACTGCGCCTCCGAGAGCGCAACTAGCTCATCGTAGATTTGTGATGTCATAGTGCAAACTACAGTGACCGGAGAAATGGCCTGACATGTAAACGCTTTCAGGGAATGCAGAGGGTGTTGATTAACAGACAAAACCTTTATCCCGCGTGCTTTGCTTCACTCTGTGCTATAGCTCTTTGGCTCGTGAACCTAATGTAAACTTTCAGGTATTTTTGTACAAATAAGGGACTGATGTTCTGTTTCTTGTTATTAGAAATAAACATTAATACAGTGTTCTTCCTTTCTGTTGTCTCTTTATTTGCGCCTGTCTAAAACCTGGGCCTGGGGTGGGTAGCTCAGTGGGGAAGAGTGCTTGCTGTGAACACAAGAGAACCAGGTTTTAGATCCCCAGTACCTGAGTTAAAGTCAGGCGAGATTCAGGACCAGCTCAGTTGCACCAGGACAACCTCACCAACCTCGCCCTGCTCGTCCTGTCCCTCCCTCCCCACAAGAAAAAAAAAATCACAGACCTGGGCTGGAGGTTGGTAAAAGTGTTTGTCCCACAAGATGAAAATATGGGTTCCGCCGGGCGGTGGTGGCGCACACCTTTAATCCCAGCACTCGGGAGGCAGAGGCAGGCGGATCTCTGTGAGTTTGAGGCCACGCTGGGCCAAAAGCCTCCAAAACAATACAGAGAAACCCTGTCTCCTAAAAACCAAAAAGAAAAAAGAAAATATGGGTTCTATCCTCAGAAGCCAGTAGCAACCCACACCATTCCCAGTGCTGAAGAAGGAAAGCCAGACCTTTGGGGCTTGCTGGCCAGCCAGTGTAGAAATGTAGTAAGAAGTTGAGGGGCTGTAATGAATGCTCAGCAATGAGAGCACTAGCTGTTCCTCCAGTCTGGTTCCAACATCCACATGACAGCTCACTCCAGTTCCAGGGAATCCGATATCCTTTCCTCACCTTCGAAGGCACCAGGCATGCATATGGTGCACAGACACACGTGCGAGTAAAACACTGCTACCCACCAAATAATACTGCTTTAAAAGAAGTTGGTGGATAGAGAAAATGGTGCGCTCTGCCATCACTGTCCTCAGCCCTCGCGTGAGGGCTCAAGGTGCCCACCCATGTGCTCTAGAACCTTGGCTTGCTACCTTCATGCCTCCTCCGCAGCCTGCGAAAGTGGGTGTTGTCACCTGCAGTGTTTGTAACGCGTGTCATGTGGTTTTAGAACATGAGTCCCCGGGGTTATGGAGATGACTCAGTGGGTAAAGCACTTGGAGGACCAGAGTCTGGATCCCCAGAGCCATCATGAAAGTCATGCAAGTGTGACAGCTTTGTCATCCCAGCGTCCGTGAGGCAATAACACAATCCCTGGGACAAGCTGACTGGCCAGACTAGCCAGAATTGGTGGGCCCTGGGTTCTGTGAAAGATACTGTTTGGATAAACTGAGTAGAGGGTGATCAAGGAAGACAACCAATGTCTGCTTCAGGCCTTGCCACGCACACCACACACACAACTCAAACAGTGCGAATCTACAGTTGCAAGTGTCCCTCGCAAAAACAGGCAGTACCCCTCGTCATGTCATGACGCAGCCCTGTGGCCCTTCACAGGTCTATGATAATGAGAGCCAAGGTGGATGGGGACCACCAGACCAGAGTTTCAAATGTCCTTTGGCCACTCTAAATAGGATGAAGGAGGCCAAACAGAGCATATACATGGGAAGAAAATAAAAAAAGAAATGCTCAGAGTACAACCTGAACTTGATTTCACTACTTAATAAGTTCTTAAAATAAAACTTCTGTGCACATACCTATAATACCGACAGTTGGGAGGCAGAGGCAAAAGGATTAGAATTGTCAAGGCTAGCCTTAGCATCATAGCCAGGAGTCAGCTTGGACTATATGAGACTGTTTCAAAAAGTATTTTTTTCAATGACCATTACAACACTAAGAAGAAGCCAGGCAGTGGTGGCACCCACCTTTAACCCCAGTACTTGGAAGGCAGAGACAGGTGAATTTCTGAGTTCTAGGACAACTTGGTCTGCAGAGTGAGTTCCAGGGCAGCCAGAGCTACATAGAGAAATGTTGTCCCGAAAAACCAAAAACCTAATTAGTTAATTAAATATATATATGAAGAAATGTTTGTTAAATGTAAAACAGTATTTGCTTTTTAAGCAGAAAACTCATTCATACCACATTTTACCTTGGCGCTTGAGACATCCCTCACTCTTAAAGACTGAGAGCAACAATGGGAAAGTGCACCGTAGACAGTACTGGACTTGTCTTAGTTTGTTTTCTATTACTGTGGTAAAACACCATAAACAGAAGCAGCTGGGAGGAAAGGGTTTGTCTCACTTTCTGGCAGCAGTCCTCCACTGTGAAGGGAGACCAGGACAGGACCTGAGTCGGAACCCACGGAGGAGCACTGCTGACTGCCTTGCTTGCACCTCCTGGCTTGCACCTCCTGGCTTGCACCTCCTGGCTTGCTCAGACGGCTTTCTTGCACACTCCAGAACCACTCACCCACGGATGGCATTGCCCACATCAACCAAGAAAATGCCCCACCTACTTGTCTGCAAGCCAGTCCAATGGATGCATTTTCAGTGAATGTTCCCTCTTCCGAGATGACTTTGTATCTAGTTGACAAAATATTAACCAACACAATTGACTCGTCACCTTGACAGCAACCACATCACTATGATACCATAAACTTTCCTTTCTTGTTTGTCTCAAGAACCCATGTTAATATTACAACAGAAGACAAGGCATAGCTTTATAAAGACTTCAACACTTTAAAAAGTTTTCTTTAAAAAACAAAAACACTGTCTCTTAAAAAGTCCAAACTCCACTTATGAGTGAGTAGAGTGACTACACACCATACTTGTCTTTCTGGGTCTGGGTTACCTCACACAGGATGGGGTTTTTCCTAGATATGTCCATTTGCCTGCAAATTTCAAGATGTCATTGGTTTTTGGCTTTTGTTTTTTTTGGTTTTTTTTTTTAACCAGAGATTAGTACCACATTTTCTTTATCCACTCTTTGGTTGAGAGGCATCTAGGTTGTGTCCAGGTTCTGGTTACGAACATAGTTAAGCAAATGCCCTTGTGATATGAGCGTGCATCTTTTGGGTATATGTTCAAAAATAGTATTGCTGGGTCTTGAAGTACATTGATTCCCAATTTTCTGAGAACCCTCCATACTGATTTCCAAAATGACTGTACCACTTTGCACTCCCACCAGCAATAGAGGAGTGTTCCCCTTACTCCACACCTTCTCCAGCCTAAGCTGTAACCAACGTACAACCCCAGAGAAACAAGGTAACAAAGAGGACCATAAGAGAGACATACATGGATTCACCTAGGAAGGAGAAATAGACAAGATCTCCTAAGCAAATTGGGAGTGTAGAAGGGGACAGGAAGGGTGACAGGGGAGAGGGGAGGAGGGAAGGGGAGTGGGAACTGGATGTTTGAGTTGGGGGAAGGACAGAGAGGGAGAGCAAGGAAAGAAATATCTTGATAGAGGGAGCCATTATGGGATTATTGAGAAACCTGGCACTAGGAAAATTCCCAGGAATACACAATGAAGACCCCAGATAAAACCCCAAACAACAGTGGAGAGGGTGCCTGAACTGGCCTTCTCCTGTAATCAAATTGAGGACTATGGTAATGGTCATCATAGAACCTCATCCAGTAACAGATGGAAACAGATGCAGAGATGTACAACTAATCACTGGGCTGAGTTCCCAAAGTCCAGTGCAAGAGCGGGAGGAGGGATACTATGAGCAAAGGGGTCAAGGCCCTCAGGGGGAAACCCACAAGAGACAGCTGACCCAAGCTAGTGGGAGCTCACTGACTCCAGACTGACACCTGGGGAACCTGCACAGGTCTAAACTAGGCCATCCTCAATGCAGGTGACAGTGGATGGCTTAAGCAGTTTGTGGGGCCACTGGCAGTGGACCAGGATCTATCTCTAGTGCACAAACTGACTTTTTGGAGCCCATTTCCTATGGAGAGATACCTTGCTCAGCCTAGACACTGGGGTGTGGAGAGAGCCTTGATCCTGCCTCAATGTAGTGATGGGACAGACTTTGTTGACTCCCCATGGAACACCTTGCCCTCTCTGAGGATCAGATAGGGGATGGAGTTGGGGGGAATGGGAGGACGGGAGAGAGGAGGAACTGGGATTGGTGTGTAATAAACAAACAAAAACTGACAATTCGTGGAAGCCTTGCCAGTCCTCCCCTTACCCTCCAATTACAAACTCGTGAGAAAATAACTGATACAATTAAGTTCCTGATTGTGGAATCTAAACTACAAAAAAAAAAGTCCAAATGTGGGTTCATGTAAAATAAAAATAACTTGCACTCTCTTATTCCAAAAGGAATAGACCAAAGCATAGTCCTGTAGCTCAAAGTCCTGCACCTGGGACACACCTTCCCAGTGGCCTCTCCTGGCATCTCACAGTGCCACGCCTCAACTGCTCTCTATGGCCCTTCACACCCTCAAGACCAGCGGGACCTGGGTGACTCCTACACATGACCAAATTCAGCTGCCATCATGAGGCGCAGCCTTGGTACTCACTAGACCACAGCTTCTGTGTGTTAACCCTGAGGAAATACATCCCTTCGATGATGCTGGTCTCCTCTTAACCACAGTTGATTTCCCAGCTCCAGCTGACCAGCATCAATTGCCCCAGTAAAGCAATGGTTCTCAACCTGTGGCTGTGACCCCTTTGGGGACAAAGGACCCTTTCACAGGGGTCACATACCAGATATCCTGCATATCAGATGCTTACATTACAATTCATAACAGTAGCAAAACTACGGCTATGAAGCAGCAACGAAAATGATGATGGTTGAGGGTCACCACACAAGGAACTGTAGTAAGGGGGCGGAGCATTAGAAAGGTTGAGAGCCACTGCAGAACAGCAAAGGCTTAGCTTCAGTGGTACTGGCCTCTTGTTGATCATGGTGACTCTTCAGCTCCTGGCGACCAGACACCACAGATTCTTACGTTAGATCTATCACAGGCACTACCTTGACAGCATCTTTGAGAGACTCTCACACTTCCTTGAGAAGTGTCACAAGCCAGGCCAGGCTTCCATTGCCCTTTTTAGAACATCTTCTTTTAAACTTCCACAACTGCTCAGTAAGCTTAGAGAACTCAACCGCTTTTCCAGGCCAATGTTCTAAACACTTCCACAACCACCACCACCACCACCACCACACACACACACACACACACACACACACACACACACACACACTGCACCCTGTCAAAAACAAAAAACACAA